TTCACCAAGAATCCTTTAAACAGTGTCACACAGTGTTTCACAAGAAATATGGTTTGCTCAGAACCCAAGTTTATTAATAAATCAAGAAAACTAGAACAATTCCTTTAGCCCTAAAATCAAAAGAAGATATCCAATCTTCAAGAAATCAAAATGAAGTTATTTTTCAACTTCCAAAGTCAAGTGAAGCTATCTACAAACTTATCTTACTTTTGAGTGAATTATGACTGCTTATATACTTGTAAAAATGAGTCACTTGGGTCATTTGGGTCTTCTGGGCCTCCTGGGCTATCTGATTTATAGTAAATTATGTCATATGCTATATTTGATAAAGTGATCTATGCTAATCAAGTACCAATAAGAATATCAAAGAATATCAAAGAATATCAAAGAAATAATTATAAATAAATAGATAAAAATGGAAATAAAATAAAGATCATGCCTAAAAATAACTATTCAATGGTATTAGATACTATTTTTATCACATCACCTAAAAAATATAATACTAAGAAATAACAGATTGATATATGTAGATTAGCTTATCGACTATAAAGCAAGCAAAGTGAGAAATTGGAGTATACTTCAACTTATCCAAAAAACAGATAAAGGCATTATTCCAAAATGGTTCTTAAATATAAGTAGGATATTCTCCAAAGATTTTTTAAATTAGTTTATAGAATTATGAAAAATAGATTGAATAAAATGAAAACCAACATATTCTATAGTCTACTCTAACCATGACAAGAGACAAAAAATATGAATAATTAAAAAGAATACCAATCACCAACTAATATATAAAAAGCTATTACAAGAAGAATATAAGAAAAAAACAAAAATTGAACACTACAGATATCAGAATAGTGAAAATAGTCAAGCGGCAAAACTAATTAAATACATGGGTTATTTAGAAGATTTTATTCAAGAACAGTGTTATATAGTGAAGGGAGATATGGAAGCAATATATATAATATCATATCTTAATACAAGAAAAAGTACTAGAAGAGTCCAGATACTAACAATCCCATATTTCACAATATAATGTTTTCAAAAAGAACAATTGAAAAAACAATAGATAGCAATCAAATTTCTGTACAGAGTCTGCAGGAGCCATTTCATTAGTTTACTTTTCAATGTGTCACAAGATAGATTATATAAATATAGAAAGTTGAAAAAAATAATCATTAAAAAGAATATTAAAGAAGAAATATATCAAGATTACTTAATAAAGATACTCCAATATAATCAAAGATTCCAAAAAAGTTTAATTTTCTATTCAGACAGATTACTAATTAATTATGGCAGTAATAATATGAAGATGGTAGTAGTATGAATCCAAATAAGTAATATAGGAAAAGAAGTAGATTTCAAACAAGAATAAATAGTTGGCCCTCATTAAATCATATAGAACTAACAGCAATAGTTACAATACTTCTGGTGGTTCCAGTAGGTAGCTCAATTGAAATTTCTATAAATAGTCAATATATATCTCAAAATAAAATATAGTTGAGAAAAATGATTAAAAAAAGATACATAAAAAAGGATAGCTAAAGAATAAAAACTGGTCATTATGGACTTGAATAACAAAGCTAGTCAAGAAAAAGATCTAGATTTGAAGCTTATCAAGATCAAGGTATACTCTTGAGACCTCTATAATAATGAAGCAGATGCTCTATTCAAAGATAATCTCAAACTTTTGATGATAGAATGGAAAAATCTCACCTTGTACAAAATTCTTACAGAAATCAAGTGACAAAACAAAACTTTAAATGATCCCATAAGACAATTTATTAAGAAGATGAATAACAAAACTATAACATATCAATGAATATTACAAAACAAAATAGAAAAAAAATGGAACTATCAAATTCAAGAACAACAAGGCCATACATAGGATCTAATATAAGAGAGAATAAATAGTTATATATAGGATATATTGTTCAAAGATTCTCAAAGAAAAAGTTTTCTTATCAAGCTGACAAATTATGAGCTATCAATATTAAGTAAACTAACTATAAGAAGGCCAGACTTATATAAACCAGTAAAATGTACTGTATGTGATCTTTAGGAGAAAAAAACAATTGCTAGAATATCTAGCATACAAGAAACAAATAAAGAAAATATAGAATAAAGATCTTAAAAGAGTTTTAATGAATTTCTGAAAACTCTTACAAGAAAGGAAAAAGAAAGGAAAAAAGAAGAATACTAGATTAATAGTGAATAATAATAAAGAAATAAGTGAAGTAGACAAGTGAACATTCAGGTTAGTAGAACAGTTCTTAACAACTAATCAGAATACATTAAGTTTCTTTATAAGATTAATAAGAAATAAATTCATTCTTGAGATAGTGAACCTTAAATACCATGATAAAAGAATTGAAAAAGAAGCAAGAAGATGGATTAAGAAGTTGCAAAGTGTAACTTGTAACCAGTTTTAGAAGAGGGTCTGGAACACAAGATGTGAAAGGATAATAGAATGAAAAAGATTGCAAGGAATTTAAAAGAAGGATAAGATAAAAAGAATTCTTAATCTTTCAGGTACTAAAACCATATGATTGAAAAGGAAAGCTCTGATATTAGAGGAAGGAATATTAGAAGATAAAGATCTAAAAAATATCTTATCAAGAAGTATTAGATTTGGGATGAGATAGTTGGATTTTGAGTAATGTCAAGACTTGAAAGTGATCTGCAGGTAATGATATTAAGAGCCAAAAGGGTTTTTACCTGAACTTCTAATGGAGCAATAAAACACTCTCAAAGTTACACTTAGAGTAGTAATTACAAAGACATCTGAGCTAGTTGATATTTTTTAGCTTTAGCAATTCATATTATATATATAGTTTACAAATATTTAATAAAGCATGCATAACTAGTCTGACGGAGGGTTAAAAAATTTTTTTTATTTTTTAAAAGATATTGAAAAAATTTTTTTGCTTTTTTTCTTTCTTTTTTATGTAAATATATTTGCACAATTTCATATATTTTTTTCTTTTTTCTTTCTTTTTTATAATATAATTTTTTTTTATTCAATATTGTAGAAAATAATTGATTTTGATAATTGGCTGGTGATGATATGAGTTATTGTGTATTTATCCAAAGTATTCATAAAGTATCATATTATCATCATGGTTAAACTTAGAGGTTACAGCTTGAGATAAGTTTGTTGGTAAAGATCTACTGTAGTTTAGCTTAGGTTCTACATGCATATAACACTTGAGTATATTTTGTATCAAGTAGTCTATTGACATAATAAACATATACTACCAGTATGGCTTAACGGATTATTTCAAAAAAAAGTAAAGTCTTGTTTTAAATAATCTTGATTGAATTCTGAATAAAAGTTTTTCAATAATTTATATATTTACTATATCATCGATAAGTATTTAAAAAATATTTTATCTTTCAAGATATTATAGATAGGCAGTTAGGCAGCATATACTGTAAGAGAAAAAAGATACCTGATGATTGAAGTTTTTAATAAGTTTTTATTTCTTTCATAAAATCATTCTAGATTCACAATCGATATCAATATTTTAACAAATACTGTAAACGATGTTATCATATTAATTTAATTTATTAAAGTTAACTAATACAGTAATACCGAAAAAAGAATTAAGAAATAATTTTTTATTTAATCGAAAATTGAATAGTGATTTTTTTGTGACTACATATTTAAACACACACAAGAGAGTCGTACTTAGAAAGATTGGAACATGCATTAACAAAGAAACGAAATATTGTGATTGATCTCCAAATAAGTTGACATGACGTCCGCGCTTGAAATAAAATTTATTCACAAGTGAATTTTGACATGCGCAAATGAACATCACAAAGAATGTCACGCGCCCTTCTTTCGTTGTTTGATTGCAATGCAAAGCCAAAGGCGGTGGTGTTATTATCTTTAAGATCTGATAATGAATTAACCCTAAAACAACATATAGTATGATGCGTGCACATACTGTATATAGACATTGTTGCATGGAGATCGGAAGGATACACTCCGACCGACATGTGAAATGTATGTGAAATATATGCGAAAGACGGATTGCTAAACTTTTTTTGCGATCCAAATTTTTTTATCCCCCCAACCACAAAAATCCATTCTTAAGACTTTATATACAACGCGCATTCATATCACAAATTTTTTGCAGTATCTACAACTTTGCATGTGCGCTTACCGAAGTATCATATTCCCGTGAATAATTTTACACCGACAAATTTCACTGATGCTTCGAATGCATAATAGCTATTCCCTGTAACCAAAGGTTTTCCTGTTACGAAAAAGCATCTTAACCATGTGTAACAATGAACAGCGATGCATAACATCATAACTAGTGCCACATAAGTGCATAAAATAAATATATGATAAGCAAAAATTTTAACCGTATAACTATTTTAACATCAAACAAAAAATTTCGCTGCATGTCTTGGGGGGGTTTAACAAAATCAATTTTTGTTATTAATTTATATATACTGTATACTGTATGCTGTATATGGATGCCGTATTTCCAGTGGTAATGTTAACAAAAAGAAATCCAAGTATGCACCTATAAAGGAAATTCATTATGTAACCCATATGGAACAATGGTCATCTGAGTTTGGAAAGGATTACACAGCTTACTTGGTCATTGTTTTATACGACAAGAAACTTGGAACGTACACGTGTTACTTAACTCGTCATTGTCAAAAAAGTTTATGCGAGATGATATAGTGATCTGCGATTACGTAATATTTGTTACCTGTGCGGATCAAATTATTACCAAAATGGAGATCACCTAACCCACACGGAATTTACAAATTAGAATCAAAAGTATAATTGATACTTCGGTTGCGAGAGGCGCTAGTGCAGGTTGTATAATTTCACCGATGCTATAAGGTGGAGCGTCCACACGGTAAAAAACCCTTCTTAGACTGACCAAATGGGGATTTCTATTCTACCTATAAAGCCCCAACTCATGGAGACATTAACCGTAAGGAACACGACAAATAATATGTGATTGGATATTTTACCTGCGAGAAAGTTGTACATGAACAATGAAAGATTTAGGTGATTTAGTCGGAATAGTAATATCACCGGTGTTCGGTTTTTGCATATTACACAAATTCTTTATCTTGCGGAGTTCGAAAAGGTTAGACTCTTGAACTCCTAAAACGAAGATGAGAAATGATTAGTAAAGATAGTGAACACACACAGGTCATGCGTTTATCTGAATTTTGAGAAACAATAAAAAAAAAGATCTTTGAATGCAGATAATACTGCTACTTTGATTGTCTTGAACGACAACTACGCATGGTATTGATTCAGCGTTTTCTGTCATATGATGAAAGCTGAGATTTTTTTGAATGAATCCTTCTTCGGAAGAATACCTTTTTTTATCCTTAATAATATTGTGCTTAAATTGGCCCTCCGAAAGATGTTGGCGAAGCCCTGTTTTCTCAGCCCATCCATCACTCAATCGTCTGTATATTGATGTACAGATATCGAAGATCATCAAAACATATGCCGCACTTATTATTGATTACTCCGACGCTCTTGGAACAATGCCGAATATTGGGTTATAAAGAATTATCACACAGTATTAATTATCAATACCAATGAAACAACTGCGCTTGCGGAACTCAGTGCAAACTTTGGGACGCGTTTTGTCACGTGTTTGACCTGGCGCACTTTATTTGTAGAACAAATTAAAGAAATAAATTGACCAAGCTGTATACTGTAAATAAAAATTAATATTGTTGAATATAACGTGCATTCTTATTTTTTATTTTATTTTATTTTATTTTTTGAAAGGGAATAGCACCTATCTTTCCTGCTACAATATAAACAATTCATCAGCGAAGTATTCATGCAAGGTCTCTGAATTCCGCCAACTTATTTCTCGTTCTACAACTTTATCTCACATATTTCTTTAAGCATTTTAAAATGGTACTCGTTACTCGATTGACAAATAAGAAAATTGAAATTTAAAGTTTAATCGAATTATCACCGTGATTTCAAATAGATTCGTGAGAGAAGAGGGAGACGGTCACTCTCAAAATACAGTATAAGTTGTAAGTTTCACTTGATTCATTGATGCATGCATGTGTTGAGAGAATTGAATTTTTCTTTATTGTTCTCTTGTTTTACTAACATATGATTGTACTGATATACTGATTCGGCGAGAATTTATCGTGTTTCTTTTGCTACAAAACCAGTTGTCTCCTGGAGAACAACACGGATCCTACAATTCAAAAATCCTATCATATTATCTATTACTGTATGTGAAATAAGATATCCGAGATGTATTCCATTTACGTTTCGCTACACAAGCTCGCGCTCTTCGAATATACACAACGCCAGCATGAAACACCACATTTTCGATAGATCAACAATTTCACTATAATTCGTTAAATCTTTCGTCTGATATTCGACTCGACGATGAGATTGGTGGGTAGATCAAATGAATATGTACAGTAAACGTTGTGTACTAACTAATACTAGATCTTAAAGCACGGGTTAAACTAGCATACTTTACAGAGCTTACTAGTCAAAAATGGAACACTGCTACCTAGCGAAATAAGCCTTTATAAAAACGAAAAAATAGATCATCCCGATATAGGTTTGTCGAGTTTAGTTGAGTGACCAAGTTACTATTAATTTCTTATCTCTCCTCTATCTCCTTTTGCTAAATTAGATGAAGAGATTGCGATTTTTTTTCAATATTCATTATTGTGTAATTATTACGCTATTTAAATAATTATTCGAGGTAAATATGAAAAATTAATGAACCCAAAACGAGTAAAAGAATAACTCTTTTCTGCGGTTGGTTCACTTGCGAGCTCGGAGATACGTCTCTTTCAAAAGATGTTCCACATAATCACCTAATATTTTTGTTCCATTAGACCAAGAGTTCCAATACGGGTGAATCTTAAAGCCAGGGGAAATAATTAATAACTTCCTGTGTAATCCACTTGCGGTGCGCAGATATGTCAAGTATGGAACAAAAAAAGACTACCCCAAAAACGCAAAATTCTCATCATTTGATTTGACATGAATATTTGAAAACATAAACTATGTAACTGTGAAATCGTAAACATTCTCCTGAATTCTTATATCTAGAATCTTCACCAATAATTGCCTATTTGTTTTTCGTCTTCGATTGACGTGCAATTACGTAATTCATGAATCAACGCACGTACGTGCGACGTATTACAACACCTACGCGAATAATTTCAATCGGAAAGTTGGGCTGCGTCGATCGTACTCGCTTTATTAATACTGTAAAATTCTATAACTTCTGTTTTCTGAAATAACATTTTGAGAGAACAATTGATATATGTATTCTTTGAAATATGTGCATAAGTTCTCTTCGAGAGTTGTTCATGCATCATTTTAAGTTTTTCCAATGACAAAAAATTTTCTTTGAGATTGGTGGATGTATGTAATATGAACCTTTTTTTTTTTTTTTTCTGTGTGGTGCAACAAAATAAAACTCGTTACGGGCCGATTTGGAAATTTTTTTTTCATGTCTGTGCATTACGTAATTCGCCAATAGGCTGTAACGGTTATTTATAATTGCTTAAATTGGACGATTTTGCATTCCATATCTTGAAAAAAAAATTTTTTTTTTAAAAAAAAAGCCTAGTTACAGTAAATTTTAAACAAATATTTATATATTATAACATAATTTTATTTGATCAAATATTTATAATTAATTAAATAAATCTGACAAAGATTAATTAATTTTGACCAGAGTTATACTAGTACATAATTCCAGGTATAATTAATTGAACCCGGTTAGAATTGGTTGATTCCGGCCAAATCGATTGAGTTTGGATAGTTCCGACCGGAATTGAGTAATACCAGTCAAACTAAACTCAAATCGATTAATTTCGATCAGAATTAAAACAATTCCGGCTAGAATTAAAGTAATTTCTGTCAACTTTAAACCCGAATTAATTGATTTCAGCCAGAATTAAGATGATTTTAGCTTAATTTATTAATTAAATTGGTCAAACTCAAATTTAATTGATATCAAATAATCTCGATCAAAATTAATATATATATATATATATATATATATTCTAGTCTAACTAACAGGACAAATCTTTATTGAGATATTAGCAATACATTTTAGATTACATGAACAACTCGTACAACCCTATTTTAACTATCTATCTCTATCAAGTTTGCCAATTTTACCATATAGTAATATCATTTTTATCAGTTACCCTATTTTGTCTAGATCTATAGTATTCTGAAGATCCATATTGGACTTCTTCTTATTTAATCTTCAAGGGGCTTGTGATATGTGTTTCATGATAAGGTCTTGTTTTCCACTTAATGATAATGGGTACCATGAATGATCCTTTCTATTTTTAGTCCTTAAAAGGCTAATTTAAACCTTGATTTTTCCAGACATAGCAGTCATATGTTAATATCTAAGCAGTTTAATGATATACTTTGTAGGTGATATATAGTCTTCCATTATGACTATTTTTAACTATTCTCTAGGTATAACCTATAAGATGTATTTCTTGATCAAATGAGACCTTGGATTTTTTTTAAATGTATTCATCTACTACAGTTCCTATCATGACACTAATACTAATCACTAGTCTATGCATCCAGCTATTTTCTCTAGTAGCTATTAATTTTATGATCTATAGAATTTCCTATTAATTCAAATTTATTACAGTCCATTATATTTTTGATTGATACAAATGACTGAAGTCTTTCATATCTTCCATGAGAGTGTTTTTCAAGAAAAGGTAAATATTCATATTTCCATTAGAGATATGAACCAATTAGAGTCTTTCTTAGTTGTTTTGATGTCTTTACATATTTCAGATAGCAAGAATCTTTTGTTTTTTCTAGTACTAAAACTAATTAGAACCTACTGTATATGATCTAATTTTTACATCATAGTTGAATAATGAATTTTTATAGGTTATTTTATGTATAAGCATACATATAACTGATTAGCATGTATCTTATACAATGTAATTTATATTGCAAAACTATTCTTTAGTGGGATTGAATTAACAATTCACTATATATATATATATATATATTTTAAACCCTCTGTCAGGCTAGGTATGTGTGCTTTATTAAACATATGTATACTTTACATTAAAAATATATCGCTAA